CCGGATCTTGGCTGTCATGCACAGCACATGGGGATGGTGCCACCCGTGTAGGCTTGCCAGATTGAGCAAACAAAGCAAAGCAAAGCTAAACAAACAGAAAAAGCCAGATGCACAATTAAACTTTCATTTCAGCAACATGAATAATTTTTAGTACAAGTGTGTCCTAAATACACATGGACACAGTCACACTGAAAATTTATTTGTTGTTTGTCTGAAATTCAAACTTAGGCGGGTGAACTGTTTTTATCCAGTGACCCGACTTGCACCCCACAGGATTCTGGGACAAGAACTGGGCGATCACAGGAAGGGTGTGGCCCAGCACCTCAGGGAGATGGGGTGAAGGCGCAGCCTGCTGTGTGCCCCTGCACCCAGGAGAGCGGAGAGCAAGATGGGGCCCATGCCCTGCTCCTGGGCTATCGGCACAGGCGATTCCTCCTGTGCTCACCTTCTAACAGGTGTACCCGACAGAGACCCCGCCCCTCAAGTGGGGCCCTGACTAAGAGGAGGCGGGACACCAGGTGTGGCACCTGCAGGAGCCGCCTCTCAGGAGACGAGGCTGGAAAAACAGCTCCACGGAGAGAGGTTTGTGGCAGCTCATTCATCGCGCCGCACCTGCCCCCACTGGGCGTGTGAGCCCATATCGCACACGCCTGGACCTTCCGGGGCAGAGACTGGGGACGTTCTGGGACTGCAATCACGGGGCCTCACAAGACCCCAGCCCGTGGTTTCTGGGCTCTGGACCGGGGACAGGCACTTTACCTTCTGGGCCTCCGTTGCCTCACCTGTAAAACGAGGCTGATGGGAATAAATGAGACGTGCGATACACTTCAATGTGTTCAGCACAGTGAGCACTGTTGGCGCCCATCAGACCCACACCCCTGCCCCCTGCACAGAGGGGAGTGCTCACATCCCTCGGGAACAATGAAGAAGCCGGGGTTGAGGACTTGGGTTTCTGCCGCAGAGGGATGCTACCTCGAGGTGTGATCAGGGTAAGTCCCTGTCCCTCTCTGGGCCTTTGTATATTATCAGCCCCTTAGAAGGGCCCGCTTTTTATGAATCTAGATGAATGTTACCAATGATGCATTTCCCCCCTTGGCAGCAAGAGGGTCCTGGCTCGAGTCTATGACTGCACTGCTCAGTGAGACAGCCACGGGCCACACGTGGCTACTTAAGTGTAAATTAATTAAAGCGAACCACTCAGTTCCTCCGTGGCTCCAGCCACACTTCACGTGCACAGCGAGACCGCTGCCATCACTGCAGAGCTCTCCTGGCCGGTGCTGGCCCACAGGCATGAGACGGAGAAGGAAGCAAGCGGTGCGCATTATACCCGGTGCGGCCGGCCCCATAGACACCCAGACAGGAGGCAGCCCTTAGCTCAGGCAATGGCTGCTGAGGAAGAGGCCGCCAGCTCCGAACGAGCCATTCTGGCCTTTGCCCAAGGACAGGAAAAGGAAAGATCCGCTGTGTACCTTTCCGCAGTTTCTGGGCAACCAACCACCGTGGCCTCACACCTGGGGCAGGCGGTTCATGGTGAAAGGGGGTGGGGTGTCATCAAAACAGCCAGGGACTCAGCAGGACTCCCAGGGCCACGGAAACTGCAGGTGAGTGTTGCTGGGCAGGCAGCGTGGCTCTCCTGCCCCAGGAGAAGCTGCCAGTTACCAGCGGTTATGCCCTGGGGTGGCCTTACCTGCAGGCAGGCCATGCTGTAGGGTAAGGGGTTGTGGCATACCCACTCAGGGCGGGGAAGGAGCTGGGACCCTCCCTTCTTACACATCTCTTTTTGTTTGCAAGAGCAATGAGTATCTAGTGCAGTGATGGCGAACCTTTTGAGCTCGGCGTGTCAGCATTTTGAAAAACCCTAACTTAACTCTGGTGCCGTGTCACATATAGAAATTTTTTTATATTTGCAACCATAGTAAAACAAAGATGTATATTTTTGATATTTATTTTATATATTTAAATGCCATTTAACAAAGAAAAATCAACCAAAAAAATGAGTTCGCGTGTCACCTCTGACACGCGTGTCATAGGTTCGCCATCACTGATCTAGCGCTTAAAAATGCCATTTATCAGCCTCTCTTGCAATTAGGATTGTCCATGTGATCCAGTTCTGGCCGTTGAGGTATAGGACAAAGACCCCAAGGAGGTCTACCCTTGAAGAAAAAAGGGCTTTGCAAAGAGAGAGAGAGAGAGAAAGAGAGAGGGAGAGAGAAGGGCTTTGCCTCTTCTTCGCCTTCCTGCCTGGAAAGTAGACTTGGGCTGGAGCTGCAGCAGCCACTTTGTAACAAGGAGGCAATATGCACAGGTAAAAACAGGCCTAGGAGAGAGACCAGAGCCTGGGGCCAGGGCAGCATGACTCAGCCCTGTGCCTGCACCGAGACCTGGAGCAGCACTGGCTGGGCAGGGCTGCCTGGCAGAGGAGAGTCTTTGATGACCCTGCTGATTCCGCATCCAAGTGCAGCCGGCTGCTAGGGGCCAGCAGCCTCTGCGGGTCTGTCCTGTGGCCAGCTCAGCTGTGAAATCTGGGGAGCGGGAGGAGCAGGAAGTGGGGACTGCGGAGGAATCCACACCGCGCACCAGGAAGGTGACTGCTCCTGGCTTAGGGAAGAGGCCTCTGTGTGTGACAAGCCTTTTCCAGGCTGAATTTTTGTGAGCTCGCGAGGGCCGGGGCAGAAGGAGAAAAGGGGAGACAGCTGCCTTTTGTGACTGTAGGGCACCCCCGAGAATGGCCTGACCAAGGCAACGGGGGACCCAGAGTCTCCTAAGGCCTCCTGGTGAGCTGTAGGTATGTAAGCCTAGCCTTCCGCAGCCAAGGTCCCAAGAATAATCATCTTATAATTACTGTGTGTCACAATAACAACTGCCTCTTTACTAACATTTCTTTAGCACACACTGTGTGCACCCGACTCTGCTGTAAGTAGTTTACATGCCTTAACTAGCTTAATCCTCACAATAACCCCAGGAAGTAGGTCCTAGTGCAGCCGTGGGCAAACTACAGCCCGCGGGCCGGATCCGGCCCGTTTGAAATGAATAAAACTAAAAAAAAAAAAGACCGTACCCTTTTATGTAATGATGTTTACTTTGAATTTATATTAGTTCACACAAACACTCCATCCATGCTTTTGTTCCGGCCCTCCGGTCCAGTTTAAGAACCCATTGTGGCCCTCGAGTCAAAAAGTTTGCCCACCCCTGTCCTAGTGTCATCACCCCATTTTACAGACAGGGAAGCTGAGGCACAGGGGTGAGGTGACTTGACCAAGGTCACACAGAGTAAAGAGCAGAGCCAGGGTCTGAACGGGGCGGTCTGGCTCCAGCACCCACAGTCGTTAGCCCCTGCACTGTATCACTTACAGGGGGTGGGGGTGGGTGATGGAGGTGACGAAGCAGGCATGCCCCCCACTCACACCAGACACCCGGAACTCAGCCCAGTGCCGGGCTCTTGGCAGACATGCCAGAGCGGTCGGTGCCCAGAGCGGTAGAGGGGGGGACCGGCAGGCCTGGGATCAGCCAGCCTGGACTCACTCCCGGCCCCCCCACATCCCAGCTATCTGACCCCTGGACAAGTGATCCCTGAGTTTATCTGAAAAAGGAGCCCAGACCAGTCCCCACGGCCTGTGGTAAATATAAACAGAGCAATCGTCTAAGTGGGAACACTGTGGAAGGTTCTAGATGGGGGTCAAATGTCATTGTCGTGATCATCGTTACAGAAAAGGGCAGACCTCGCTGGTGCTCTGAAGGAAGCCCTGATCTTGGGACTCCGACCCAGGAGACCCGAGCAGGGATTAAATGACAGGGGAGGCTGAGCCAGCCCCTCTGTGCCGTTCCCCACACAGTCTCCCCGCGCCCTCCCCAGCCCCCACTATGAGTGGAGACAGGCCCACGAGGATAGCGACAGGCCCAGAGGTTGCAGGCACGAGGGGCACATGGGGGACTCTTTGTGCAGGCCAGGCTGCGTGAGGTCGGGGATGCAGGCCGGGGTGACTCCCTGGCTGCCTGTCGTGGGTACGCCCACATCTGTCGGGGCCGGGAGTGCTGGGATCGGGAGCAGCAATGTGGCCCTGGTTCCAGCCCCGGCGGGTCCTCGAAGCCCTGTAAGTGACAGGAGCCGTCACAGGGGCGTTCAGGCTGGTCTTGAATGCAATGGTTTGCCTGTGGACAGAGACATCTGGGGACCTCAGCCTGGAAGAGCAGCCTCGGGGGCAGGCCTCTGTCGGCCACCCTGGGACGGGGTGAGGCGAGCCCTGGCATCACCTCCTTCTGCTCAGGTGCCCCCTCAGGGCCAGCCCAGGTGCCCCCTCCGGCCTGGTCCCTGCTCGGGGAGCAGAAAACAGACCTCTTGGACCACCTCTGTCCTGTTCCCCACACAGTCCCTCCCGGTCCCTACTCTGAGTGGAGACAGGCCCACGAGGCCAGAGATGGGCCCGGCAGCAAGCAGGTAAGGGCTGGAACTGTGGTTTCCTGGAGATTTCCTGTTCTCTGGGCCTTTGTCACCTGACCCTGACACCTAGGGCCTTGGAGGTGATGGGAAGGGATACAGCATTCACCAAATACAGGCGATTCTCAAATACACCTGGCTACTCCTCCCAGGTATGGACCCGAGGGCCGCTCCCCGCCAGTGCCTGGTGATCCCTCCTGCAGGTGGGTGGGGGTGGGCATCGCGGGTACCAGGTGATGCAGCCTTTGTCTTTGCTCATGTTTTACAGTCATCGTTTTTCCCTCCCGCTGTTGTTTAACCGTCTTCGCTGCAGAGGTTGTTTGTTCCAACATAGCTGCTGGCCTGTGAACACACCTTTCAGACAGGCCGCCTCTTTCCCCACAGTTCCCACGGGAGAGCCGTGCCCACCCAGCTCGGAGTTCCAGGAACCCGCTGCTCTCCAGGGACAAGGGGTCTCCTCCCCCTGTCCAAGCCCTGAACGCTGGCCAGGCGCTGGAGATGGACACAAGGGCCCCACCCTTGGGAGAGTGCCCATCACAGATTTCACTACAGAGATGCGCCCCCCCACCCCCCACCCCAGGGACGTCGAGGAATCGCAAACCTCCAGCACACAGCTCCCTAGTTCTCAGGAACTCAACTCGAGGACCAGAGCTGCAGAGGGCGGTCCCTCTAGGGTGCCTGTTTGTCACTCGAGCCCCCTCTGCACCCCTGCAAACTCAGGACAGCCACTGGCGGCCTTTCTGGGCCTGTGGCTTGATGCCACCACAGCACCGACCGAGCCACTGTCCTTGATGGTCTGCAAAGATCAACCGGCAGGTGATTCTAGCTCGGGGGGAATGTGAAACTCCAAACACACCGTCTGGCTGGGGGTGGAGACACAGGCGCTCTCCTGTCACCTGGGTGGCTGAGTCCCCAGGGGGCAGGGGCAGCAATGACAGCTTGGTCCCAAGCCCAACGCTCAGGCCTCCCTGGTGACTGCGGAGCCCACTCCTATCTAGCTGCCGGGCAGAAAGGAAGGGAGAGGAGAGGGATGGCCTCTCCCACGCCTGCACTGAACACCGTTTCCCTGGGACTCAGAAGCAGCGAGCTGAGGCCAGTCCCTGGTGTCCAGGGGGCTGAGGGCAGCTGTCCTGGGGCCCCCTGTTGGTGCAAGGAAGCACCTCAGAGAGTCCCTCTGAGTCTCTGAGCCTCAAAGCCACTGTTCCTCTGGGCTGCTGGCTCGTCCCACCTTTTTTTAAAAAAAATATATATTTGTATTGATTTCAGAGAGGAAGCAAGAGGGAGAGAGAAATAAAAACATCAATGTTGAGAGAGAATCACTGATCGGCTGCCTCCTGTATGCCCCATGCCAGGGATGGAGCCTGCAACCCGGGCATGTGCCCTGACCATGAATCAAACTATGATCTCCTGGTTCATAGGTTGATGCTTAACCACTGAGCCACACCAGCTGGCTCATCCAACCTTTTTAAAGGTCCTCCTTATCATCCCCTGGATGGGGCAGCAGATGTTTCTGTCCAGCTCACCTCCAAGCCTCCTGTCTTTTTTATATAGCACCCCCCTTCCCCTTTGGGGTGCCATCCACTCTCAAGGCCCCTGATTTAGGGGTAGAAATGTGACCCCGTCTGGCCAATCTGAGCACTGAGCTGCCCTGGCCACTGTGATTGGTTCAGGAGGGGGGCATGACCCAAATCAGTCCAATCGGAGTCAGCCTCTGAACCAGGAGCTGCTGGCGGCCACCTTGCCACTGAGAGGGGAGCGCAAGCGAGACACAGACTAGATTCAGATGATCCCTGCGTCTGGATCACACCACACCTGAAGCAGGCAGGATCTACCCCTGGACACAAGCCAAGACATTCTTAAGCCAGACTGAGCTGTAGTTTCTATCCCTTGCAACTAAAAAAGAATCCTGATAAACTGCATCGGTTGGGGATCATTTTCTGGGCCCCCAGCACCCCCAAACACAAAGGCCATCTGCTGTGTGTTAAGCGTTCCAAACTACCGCTCTCCTTCAGAAACTACACCAGCAAAACGGACACTGGAATCTGCCTCCACAACCCAGCAAGACCCTCCCCCCATGTGCACTTCAATTCTAGCTTTTCTCTGACCAGTGACCAGTCCCCGGGCTTGGAAGTGGGGAAGTATCGAGCTTTTAAGTTCTGCCTCAAGGCCATCCATTTACAGACTTTTCCTGCCCAAATCAGCCTTTTGTCTTCTCCTACCTAAAGGGGTCTGACAGCACCAACTGCACGGCCACTGGGTCACCATCCTTCGCCTGAGGCTCCGGCTTCCAGTCAGGTGCTGACCACGTGCCTGGCTCCGAGCCCTGGCCCACTGGAATCTCTCGCCAGGCCTGTGGGGGCAGTGCCAGCCTCTCCAGTTTGCACATCAGAGACGGAGGCCACGGCAGGTGGACTGGCTTGTTCAAGGTCACAGGGCTGGTTCGGGTGGCACCGCCGGATCCCAACTCGGAAGTCTGTCTGATTGCAAAGCTCATGGTCTTTACAACTGGATGAGGCTCCTTGCCCTAAACGCCATGCTGTGCAGCATATTTCTCGAGCTACATGCCAGGAGAGAGAGCCTGGCAAGCGAACAGAGAGAGGGCACTTTGGTAAAAATGGTAGGGTCCCCCCATCCTTGCCTCTTGCCATAGGCTACTGCCCTCCCCGAGGTCTGGCTCCTATAGGCAGTATCCAGGAGAGGGACAGCCACCTGTTTCCCTTGCCACCCTCGCCATGCATGACTCTCACCTCGCACCCCTCCTCCCTCCTTGTTCACCACCCAGGGGAAAAAATTACCAACACACGAAGAGGAAAAATAGAGGAGAAGGCCTGCCATTGGTCACACCCACCAACTCATGACACAAGCCATCCGTGCAGTGAGCACAAAGCTCATCGCAAACTGGGTGGAACCAACCTGACCGAGGCCTTGACACTGAGGGAAAGCCCAGCCCCGAGTCTGAGTCAGCAGCAGACATTGCATCTCAGTTTCCTTCTCCACCCACCACCTCCTTCTCCACCCACCGCCAGAACCCAGGGTGGAAGCTGCCTGCCCGCTTGTCAAGAGCGTGGTTCTCCTGGGCCCAGCTCCCAGTGGGAGCCACCTTCCTAGGAAGACTGGGACAAGAAAGACATTTCCACCCCATTTTATAGACAGCCAAACTGAGGCCCAGAGGAAGGTGTCTGGAATCCACGACTCTGACCGCTAGGCCACTGGTTCCCAAGACCTGGCAGCCAAACTGGAAACACACTTTGGCTAGACCACCCTGCTCAGCCCGTCTCATCCACCGACTCAGGGGTTAAATGCATGGCAACGCGTCCGGCATGCCGACGGCCCCCGCAGATGTGAACAATTATACAGAGAAGAGAAGTGGGCGATCGGAGCCCAGCCCAGGGCTCCCCTAGACGTCGTCATCACGCGAGGGCGGTGAGTCTGAAATTCCCACATCTTCAGATCCACATCACGAACAGATCCAAGCTTCCAGAACAATTTAAACCAAGTCCAGACGGCGGCCCCAACGGATGGCAGACCTGGACTCTGTCTCAAATGTGGCTCCCGAAGGAACCAGGAGCGGGCGATCCCTGCGTGGCCTGACCGCGAGGTCCCTCAGCTCCCTCGCCTGGAAAAGGCGATGATGAGGGCTACGACCAGCAGTTCTGGAGCGGGCTGCGGGGCCAGATCCTGGCTCTGCCCTTCAGCTGTCTGACCTGTGCAGGTCGCCTCTCTTTCCTCTTCTGGGGAATGGAGGTGACAGTATCACCTCCCAGATAGTACCACGTCTGTGAATGACAGTAACAGATATAAAGAGGCCTGGTGCCACGGAAACCCTTGGCAAACGTTGGCAGCAGCTCCGATGCCATCGCAGAGGACGCCTGGCCGCCTGGAGGGGGCGGGAAAGGAAGAGGGTGTCTTGGGCTCCAGCCACCCCGTCCTCAGCGGTCACTTGCCAGGAGGTGCCCGAGGCCGTGGAGGCTGCCGGCAGCTCACGGCTCCACACAACTCACTCCTGATTACTCTCCAGCCCATGGAGCAGCTGCTCCAGGAAGACAGAAAATATGCTTTGCATACTTTAAATGTTTCACTTATGAAAACTGGCAGGGCTGCCTCTCTGAATTGTGTAGCAATAAAGTCAGTAACGAGAGCGCTGTTTGAGGCTCCCACCGCTGGAGCGGGCGGGTCGGGAGCCTGTGGGGGGGCGGGCTGGCCGCCAGCGCGGAGCCCACTGGGGCTTCCAGAAGGCGCCATCTGGGATTTCTCAGAGGGGCACTAGGATCACATCCTGGTGTCCTGATATGAAACTGGAGCCTCCGTCTGGAGGCCCAGTCCCGAGGCAGCAGGGGCAGAGGGGAGGGCCCTTCCGGCCTGGGACATTTTCCCACACTCCCAGGATGCCCGCGTTTCCAGCCAATCGGGTTAATTGAAAAATACCTGGGGCTGAGAAACAGCAGGCCCAGGCCACAGGGGCTGGGTCACAGGGGACCCTACCGGTCTCCGGCCTGACGGGACTCGCCAGCCTGCAGCTGGGGGCCTGGACCCCGCTGGGCACGCCACGGCGAGGGGCCGTTCTGTGTGCCGGGCACACGTCCCGTGCAGTCCCCAGCCGCCCAAAGACTAAGGGAGCCCAGGGCTCTCACCTAGGGGGTCGTGGGCCACCGTTGCCGGGCTGCCTGGGGTCCCCGGCACTATTTCCTCGCAGGATGCTGTTCTGCATTGTGCCACAGGCCCTCCTCCCCAACCCCAAACGCCAACAGCACACTCCAAAGGAAGCCCGCTGCCTGGCCTGGGACACGACGGCATCTCATACGCAGAAGGCCATGCTTGGGGCTGATGCCGCTAAGCTGACCGCCTTTAACTTTTTCTTCCAAGTGCTATTATGTTTGCCATCCCAGCCTTGCCTCTCTGGGCTGTTCCGTCCATTCCAGTCCTCCTAGCCCCGGGTCTGTTCTAAGAGCCAGGGTCCCCACACTTCCAAGGGGTCCAGCCCATCTCCACAGGCCTGTGCA